CGTTGCCCTTGCCCAGCGCCTTGGCCGCCGACACCGACTTGAACCGCTCCTGCGACAGCCTGCCGGCCTCGGCCTTGAGCTCGCTCTCCGAGACCTGCGCCGTGGGCTGCGCTGTCTCCGTCGGCGCCGGTGCTGGTGACGAGCTGCCACTAGAGGCTCCACCGCCAGCGCCTTCACCTGGGACTCCAGCTGTGGCGCCCTCGGTGGTCTTGCGCTTCTTCTGCATCCTGCCAAGGACCTCCTGCTCGGCCTTGGCAACCTTCTCAAGGAACTGCTTGAGCTCTGCGCCCTTGGACTCGAAGCTCTGCTTCCACGTCTCCAGCTCTGACTTGAGCTGACGCAGCGCTTGTTTGTCGCTCTCCTCGCACTCCCAGTCCTCGAACTTGTCAAAGACCTCGGGGTTCATCTGAATGCTGATGGTCGGCATCGAGCCGTCAGCGCAGGACGCTGGCTACTCCGAGCCGCGGATGCCCTCCGCCTTGGCCAGGGCTGCGGCGGCGTCCTTCTTGGCCCGCTCTGCGAGGACCAGCTCCTGGGCCGCGCTCTGCTCGTTGGCCTCGGCGGCCTGGAGCTCGGAGCGGAGCCTCAGCACCTGCGCCACCAGCTGCTCGCGCCGATGGCTGGCCGCCCGCCACGCCCCGTCAGCCCGCTTGACCGACTCGGCCGCCGTCTTACGAGACGCGGCGGGGAGCGTGGCGAGGCGGCTCCGCTGGGCGGCGAGCGCCGTCCTCATCTCCTCGTCCTGCGCCGTGCGCAGGGCCTTCTCCAACAACTCGTCCAGCTGCGTGATCGCCAGGTCCTTGCTCTTGCGCCCCTTGTCGCGCGAGCGGTTGCTACCTACGCTGCTGTTCTCCCAGTCGGACTCGTCCTCGAAGTGCACATGACGAGGGCCGTGGGGTTTGAACAATTTCTTGACCTGGTGATTGCATCCTGGGCACATCATGCCGTTGGAACGAAATTTGTCATTGTACTCGCACTTCTGGCAGTTGCCGCAGCGTGTCCATGCCTTGGCACGTTGCGGAGACATCCCTGCTTTCGCGAACACTTGCAAAGGTGTCAAAGATGCAAGTGGTCACACTCAAGCACCACTCTGAGGTACAGGGAAGGACTCGGGCGGAAGTGAGTGTGCAGCAGGCCCCCAGGCCTCTGACCCACCTGCTCGAGCCCAAGCGGCTTGAGGGAGGAGGAGGAGGAGGAGGAGGAGGAGGAGGAGGAGGAGGAGGAGGAGGAGGAGGAGGAGGAGGAGGAGGAGGAGGAGGAGGAGGAGGAGGAGGAGGAGGGAGGAGGAGGGGGGGGGGGCCTTGGGCCCCCTCGGGCGCCTCCTCCTGCTCCCTCTGGGCGCCTCCTCCTGCTACTGTTCCTGCTCGTCCTCTTTCTGTTGGGCGGCGCTCGCGGCGGCAGCGGGTCGTTGAAGCAGCGCGGCGGCAGCGCGGCGGCAGCGCGGCGGCAGCGCGGCGGCGGCGACGACAACAGCAGCGGCCTCTCCTCTCCTCCTCCTCCTCCTCCTCCTCCTCCTCCTCCTCCTCCTCCTCCTCCTCCTTTTCCTTCTCCTCCTCCTGCTCCTCCCCCTGTTAATTTGTGGATCGGATCGGTGCGAATCGGCGCGCAGCGAAGTCGAATCGGAAACTAGTGGATCAGATCCTCCGCGCTCGGATCTAGGTCAGATTGGCTCCCAACAAGCCGGTTCGGAAAAAAACCAGATGGGCACGGCGAGTCAAGTCGGAATAGTTTCAGATTCGATATGAACTGTGTCGAACCGAACCGGTCGGATCGAAACGGCTTCTGCGAAGATGCAGACACAATAGAATAATTAGTGAACATGTTTTGGGAAAGAGTGTCGGAGATGCTGGATGGATTGCCGGCTCGAACGGGACCGAGTTTGATGCTCGATGCGAACGCACGCCTCGGAGGAGACGATCCGAGCATGCATGCAGGCACGGTGGATGCGGACGAAACGAACTTCAGTGGACAATGGTTTGAAAGTTGCCTGGAGCACCGCGCGGCCTTGCTGCGTTGAGCAGATTCCCTGCACGGAGCCAGCGAACTATCATTGCCCAGGCGGGCACACATCCAGATTTGATTACATACTTGTCGGTCGGAAGAAGTAGGTAAAAACATGAAGTAGGAAGGCGGATAAAGTGGATTGGGTCCAGGCCCTCAGAGAACAATAAAACGCAGCAAAACCATGCCGATTCTTGAAGTAGGAAGGCGCTTGAAGTAGACTGGGATCTGGGAATCCCAAAATACCTACTTTCAACGACCAGCGTGTACGTGCGTTCGCCTGTTGTCACGGGAGCGCAGGTGGAGGCGTGTGGAGGCGTGTGGGAGCCCAGGGGAGAAGCCTTAGATGATCAGCTTTCGCACTGGGCGGGGCCAGCACCCGCTGGTGCTCAAGCTATCGCTTGGGCCATGCTCTGAGCCCCGCAAGCCGCTCCGCACGTGCTGGAACCACGATCGTATCTCGTGGGGAGCTCGGTTCGGCAAGGATGTTGCCCCGCTCTGCGATCAGGTGGAGCAGGCCCTCGGCAGCGTAGCTCGGCAGGTTCAGGGATTGTGCTGCCAGGGGGGCGGATGCTTTTTTACGATACGCTGCGCAGTGTAGTAGATGACGTCTTGAGAGGCCATTCCCGACGAGAGCCCAAGAAGAGGGGACGACCGCATTGCAGGTAGAGCCGCCCTGAGGGAACTCAAGTCCGTCCCGATTGATCCTCGTCCTCCTCTCCTTCCTCTGTTTGAGTTCCCTGTGTGGCTGGCCTCCTGGAAAGGGATCGGACCTCCGTGTTGTTTGTCGAAGGCTGTGCTGTGTAGGCTTTGCTGTGTTTCAAGATCTGTAACGAAGTGTACGAACCACACTCGTGTCTTGTGAGTGTGGAGCACAGTTGCAAGCAGCATGGTAAGCAGGTGCGTGTGTGTGTGTGTGCGTAGGGATGGGATTCGCCAAGGAAGTGTTTATGCGAGTGAGCCTGATATTGGCAAGCGTGACGGTGGCACTGCTCTGTGCTGGAAACTCTCGCGTTCGCTTGCAGGGAGCAATCTCACACCGTATCAGCACAATTCTGGTTCACCGAAGACCCGGCTTGAAAAGCAGACCCAAAGCACCCCGAGGCTGGAAGACCGCAGAGGGTGTCCGACAACGCCCGGGAACGTCCGGCGTGCCCCCCCGCGCGCCCGAGCCAGGATTTTCTTGCCTGGATCCACACAAAACTCACGAGGAAGAGAACGGCCAGCTTCCCAACTGCTGGGGAGGGAACCACACCACGGCACCGCAGGCCGAAGAGAGGGAGCACAGTGTGCGAGACAGGCCGCAGACCGAGTGGGCAGCCTGGTTGCCAAGAGCGGCCTCGGAGGGAATGCCAGCAACGGCGACGGCGGCGCGTGCCACCGTGCGGTGAGCCCGCACGTGCCCACGCGATGCTCCGGCGATGGGCGCAGCCCGGCACGCGGGCGTTGGGATGTGTCCTGGCCCGCGCGCACTGCCAGGCGACGCCACAGCCAAGCGCGGCCCACGAGGCAGCAGAGAGACCACATCGTCTAGGGGTTGGGACGCCACGTTGTGGCCGCGCCAAGGCTGTTGTCTGAATATGTGTTAATGCGTTCGTGCTTTAATGCTGTGCTTGATGTTAGTTCAATGCGTTAGTGATTTAAGGTTGTTTTAATGTTTAATGTGTCACCATGTTGTTATGATGTTGTTATAATGTGGGTTGATGTGTTAATGTTTTCTTTTGGGTGGGGGGCGGGGAAGGTTGGTTGGCGACAGCCTCGAGGCGGAGGGGCCGAGCTGCAGTCAGCTCTTGCCTGGTGTGTGCCCACGCACGCGTCCCCCCCACCCCCCGATCAACCCGTTGCTGGGGGAGGAGGAGGAGGAGGAGGAGGAGGAGGAGGAGGAGGAGGAGGAGGAGGAGGAGGAGGGGGAGGAGGAGGAGGAGGAGAAGGAGGAGGAGGACGGAGGACTAAGGGGGATGGGGGCCTACTGTGCCGACGCCTGCGATTCTACTACTTTTTACCCTCGCGGGCTCTCTACGTTTCCGCCTCTCCTTGCACCTCTTGGGCCGCTTGGTCTGCACTCAGGCGGTTTACCGTTCTTGCTGGCCACCAGATCGCCACAGCCTGGTCGCTACAATCCGCCTAACACGAAAAGGAGGGCGGAGGGCGGACGGAGGGAGGACGGAGGGAGGAGGGAGGGACCGCGCGGAGGACGGACGAGCTACGAGGAGGAGGAAGGAGAACAGAACGCCTGCGAAGAGGAGGAGGAGACTCTGGATTCTAGATAATATAAAGGGCTGCGACCAAGAGCAAGCTTGGGCGCATGAGCACACTCAATCGCGTGCAGGAAGAGGAGGAGGAGAGGGAGGAGGAGGAAGAGGAGGAAGAGGAGGAGGAGGAGAGCAGAAGGAGGAGGAGGAGGAGGATGAGAAGGACGAGGAGCGCAGCGTAGAGGAGAGATCCATCCGACCGACCACTGATGAGAAGGACGAGGAGGAGGAGGAGGAGGAGGAGGAGAAGATGGAGGAGGTGGGAACCATCACCAGAGGAGCAGGGAGGGAGGGATAACGGAACGATTACGCGCATGCTCTTCCTCCTTCTCATTCTCCTCCTCCTCCACCACCTCATCGTCAATGTCATCATCATGATCATCATCATGATCATCATCATCAGCATCAGCATCATCATCATCATCACCATCATCCTCATCCTCATCCTCATCCTCATCCTCATCCTCATCCTCATCCTCATCCTCATCCTCATCCTCCTCATCCTCATCCTCCTCATCATCATCATCATCATCATCATCCTCATCCTCATCCTCATCCTCATCCTCATCCTCGTCCTCGTCCTCGTCCTCATCCTCATCCTCATCCTCATCATCCTCATCCTCATCCTCATCCTCATCCTCATCCTCATCCTCATCCTCATCCTCATCATCATCATCATCATCATCATCATCATCATCATCATCATCATCATCATCATCCCCTCTCCTCCCCCTCCTCCTCGCGCGCCTGAACCAAGTTGTCGCGCTTTACCCGGAACAGCTGCCCGCTCTCCGCCGCCCGCACCACGTAGCGGCTCTGGTCCTCGGTCCTGCCCTGCGACCTGCCCCCCATCCCCCCCCCGGCGGGCAGCACCGCGGCGGCCCCTCCTCCGAAGGGGGTGGGCCCTCCTCCACGGCAGCCAGAATAACATGCTGATACGGGGTATCCTGACTACCTACCAGACAACCCCAACCCAACCATAAGACCCGAATTTCGTGTTTGGGGGGGGGGGGGGGTCGGGTTCCATATGTGTTTTCTCAATGTTCCCGACCCCCCCCCACTGGACATGGAGAGCCAACTGAGGCCTCCGGGTTAGATTTGGGGGGTCTGGTGGGTGGTGATGTCCTCCTCGGGAGGCGTGCGCCCGACACGAACATGCAGCATAAACATCTCATAGCACATTGTTTCTCGAGCGGTGCCCGCCACCGAACATGTGCCTTGAGCAGGGACCGACCGTCCCGGCATTCCTATAGTCCTACCACGAAATGTTCTTAGAACCCACAAATGTTCTCAGAAGAAAAACACGGTTCTTAGAACATAAACCCGAAACCAAGACATTCCCGGCCAGAAATGTTCTAAGAATATTTAGTGGAAATCACGACAGGTTCTTAGAACATTGTTTGGTCGGGCTATAGGCGAGCCAGGACGCTTCGCCACTGCTTGAGTGCTGCGCCCTTTCTCGGCGCGCGCGCGTCCCCTCTTTGAGGGCGACGCGCGCAGGAGTATCAGTGTGTTTGGGTGACGCTGGCTCCGGGGCTCCCAGGGGAGAGAGCGAGGAGGAGGCAGGTCAGCACGAGGAGCGAGGAGGAGGAGGAGGAGCGAGGGGAGGGAGCGAGGAGGAGGAGGGGAGGGGGCGAGGAGGAGGAGGGGCGAGGGGAGGAGGAGTGAGGAGGAGGAGGAGCGAGGGGAGGGAGCGAGGAGGAGGCAGGCTCACGCGAGCTGTTCCTCGCCCTGTCCCCTTCCCCCGTGCGCGACTTCCTCCACGGACGGGCGCGGTCCAGGCCGCCACGGGACGGAACGGCAGGGGCCTCCTCGCGGGGAGGGCCCCTCCTCCAGAGGGGGGAGGAGGGACGGTCCATTTCCAGGTTCCACGGATGAAGAGGAGGAGGAGGAGGAGGAGGAGGAGGAGGAGGAGGAGGAGGAGGAGTTGGAGTTGGAGGAGGAGGAGGAGGAGGAGGAGGAGGAGGAGGAGGAGGAGGGGGAAGAGGAGGAGGAAGGAGCCGTCTTATGTCTGTTTGCATCGACGCTGCTGCACCTCCCTGCTGAGGGACGAGGTGAGGAGAAGGGAGGGCGAGGGAGGAGAAGCAGTACGGAAGTGCCCAGGGACACACCAAATAAATAGACGCACGTTCCAGGAGTCCCAATATTTTTCTAGATGTACTGGATGTTCGTCTTCCCCTCCTGTCCCGTATTTTCCTGGGGAAAAGCGTTTGATGGTGTCTGTGTGCTTCTTTCCCTCCCTGGAGGGTGTGTTGCATCCCGCCCGCCCGAGAGGCAGAGAGAGAGAGAGGGCAGGGCGTGCAGCGTGCGGCGGGCCCGACCCAGATACCGCAGCGTAGCCCGCGGACCCCCCCCCCACACCCACCCACCCACCCACACACACACACACAACACACACACACAACACACACACACAACACACACACACACACAACACACAACACACACAGGCACACACAGACAACACACACAACACAACACAACACAACACAACACAACACAGCATAACACAACACAACACAACACACCACAACACACCACAACACAACACAACACAACACAACACAACACACACGCACACAGACACACACAGACACACACACACACACAAACTCAGACAACAACTCCGAGCTGCGCGCGCGCACGGCAGACACTAAGCCCCGAGCATCGCTGACATAGGGCGATCCACTGCTCCTGGCCAGGCCAATCCTGGGCCCAGGAGCTGTGTATACACACTCCTGGAGATTGGCCAGGGAGGGCGTACACATAGCTCCAGGGTTCAGGATGGGCCTGGCCAAGACCGGTGGATATGTATAGATCTCGTCCCCCGATGACAAGGGCTCACCAGACACGATGCACCGCAAAGAGGGCGGAGAGGCACGCCGACACCATCGGTGCTCAAACAAGGCACAGTTGGACCTGGGCACCCTCCCCAAGATGCACCAGAGCATCCAACAAACACGAAGAACACTAGGGTACGCTCCCTGAACCAATCCCGATCCTATGCCTCGGCACGACTGCAAAACTCACTCACGCTGCGCCACAATGCCAGCGCAAGGTGCAACGGATGGTCCAGCTGCGCGGCGGGGAGGCGCTGCACGAGCCCTTCTCTTCCGGCGCAGCATGTTTGAGGGAAAAGGGAAGGAAGGTCGGGGCTGAGCGGGCCCCAGAAAGGGCAGGGCCGCTTCTTCACCGCTTGAGCAAACATATGCAGAAATCTATCAAACATGGAAGCGGCGTCGGAACCGGTGACAAAAGCGGCAACACGGAGCCGGTAACAATAACGGCCCCGTCGTCTCCAGGGCCCCCTAAGGGTCGGGGAACACGCCAACTGCACACGGCCAATCGCACGCAGCCGCCTCCCACGGCCTGCCGGGCAAGCTGGGCAGGCATATCCCCGGGCTGCCGAGGGCACGCGGGCACGAGACACGAGACGCATGGGGAGAGCTCCCGGCTCACGAAGAGTGCTCTGTCGCGCGGGGCCGCGGGGGGGCGGCCGTGGTCGAGGCTCACAGCAGATGGGTCGCTGCTGGTCGGGGTTGCGTAGGAGGGCGAGGAGAAGAGAGGAAGAGGAGGAGGGAGAGAAGGGGGAGAGGAGGAAGAGAAGAGGGGAAGAGGACGAGCGGAATCGTGGGCCCCTCGCATGTAGCCCCGAGAGCGTCGCGGGCCGATGCAGGTGTCGACGCTTCCAGCCCCCCAGCACGTGATGCGAGGGATGCGCAAGGAACCAGCAGCAAGCTTTGCGAAGGTCAGGCCGCTGAGGCGGCTTTCGGCCCAGGAGACGTCAGAGCAGCAATAAGGCGCTACAGACGGCGGCAACACGGCGCAAAGCTAAGCACAACAACACGCAAGGACACATCAACGTGGCCACCCACCCTCATGTAACAGATAGTCGCTCCGATCCAGCACACGCAATGCCAATGTCGTCCGTGGGTGGCATGGGCAACCAATTAATTCAAACAAGGTAGCACCTCTGAATAGGAGCTTACTCGGTAACCTTCCCGTTCTTCCTCTTCGGCCCCTCCATCTCCCCCATCATCACATTCATGCATTCAGCGTTGCGAAGCTGGGGAAGAAACGCCCCTGCGACAAATGCGATACTCTTCCTGGCACTGCCACCGCGGGTTCTGAAATTGCACGTGCCGCGCTGGCTTCTGGCTGCATCCTGGGCTCTGACGGGACTCACGCGCCTGCACTCGAAAGGCCTGCGAGCCAACTACGGGCTTCGCATATGACAGTAGTGCGAACTCTGCGCGACACACTGCTTGCTCGCACTGCCAAATCCGCTACCGTTCGGCGGCGAGCGAGGGGGGACTTGAGAGGAGACGACCTTCTCAGAGGGCGGCGGGACTTCTCAGGAGCCTTCTGATAAATGTTTGTTGGTTTTCGGGGAAGGCTTCGAAAAACGTCCCAGAAGGCCGTGGGGCTTCCGAACGTTCTGAGTAGGCCTTTTCCTCCTCACTTCTGATGGGGCCCTGGGACACACACACACACACAAATAGAGACAAATCACAGGATTCCCCATATCTTCCCATATTCTCTTGGCTTTTGTCTTCCCCCCCACTTCCCAAATTTTCCCATACTTTCTGGGGAATCGACGACTCATTGTGTCTGTGTTTTTTCCCTCCTCAACGCCGAACCGTGCCCTTGGCACGCTGAGGCGCGCTGGAGTGATGACTGCTGGCTGTCCGGCAGGGCCCCTGCAGTTTCCCCCGGGGATGCCGAAGGCGACGCCCGCCTACGGCACCAGCGCGCGCCCGCGCCCCCAGAGCATGGCCCCACGGCGTGCTTCTCTCCAGCGCTCTCCCCCCTCCCCAAGACGGCCCGAGATCGCCTACAGGTCGCTGGCAGGTGCCCCAAAGACCAGCTGAACGCAGCATAAGGGGCGACCCCGAGGCCTCAAGATGGCCCCACGAGGCCCCGAGAGACCCTGACCCCCCCCCTCCCCGCAGAGGCGCCACCTATGCAATACATCCAGCATGGCGCTGGGAAGCCAAACGCGTCGAGAAGCCTGAGGCTGTCCAACGCATTGCAAATCTTCAAGAAAGCTTCCGAACGCCCCGGTAGTGGCCCCAAAGGGCCCCAAGACGCCTCCGACTCCGATACGGTGCCGAGACGCCTCAAGGACTCCGCGAGATGGCCCCAAGACCAGACCAGACAGCCCCAAGATGGCTCCACCGAATCTTTTCCGGAGAGCTCGGTAGAGCCATCGTGCCCAAGACAACTTCAAAATCTACACTGGGCCCAGAAAGGATGGTCCCGAGAAGCACTTCACAAACGCCTGACAAAATCCAAACCAACCCTCAAAAGGCCCAAAAGAAACTCCCAAGAAACCGTCACGCCATCCCCAAGAGGTAACGCAAAAGTCATGCAGCGTCACGGCCTGGCCACGCAACACCATCGTCGCGATGCTTCCCGAACAGCCCCGACATACTTATACCAAGCCTGTTTGGGAATCGGGAGAGATCGGCAGAAAGTCACGCATGAAGTTCAAAGGTGCGCCGCCATGGAGGCAACGCTGTTGCCGCAGGCAGCTGGTTAATTACACGCGACTCCACAGCAAGCATACTCGCAATATTCATTGTGTCCACGGTCCCTGGTGGGTGATCGCAATAATAGTTTGAGAAATGGCACGTCCGACCGGTATAGATCCATGCACACTAAGAAACTTCAGGCTACTAAAGAATACGCTCGGGCACGCATTCATCTCGCTCCTCCGTCATCTCCATCTCGACCGCGCAACGTCTCTACAAGCCGATCCCCCCGAACGACTTTTCGAGGATACGTCCAGGCCAGCCGTTCAGCTCGGCGTGGTTGCGCAACCGACATATGACCTGATACATGCTGCCAGGAAGGGGTACCGACGCGCAGGAACAATGACTATGGTTAACAGATCAAGCCATGAGGGCAAACAACGCTAGCAGGAACGTGCACAACCGTGACCTGATGCCATTCGCTGTTGGACCAAGGCAACAAGACGTAATCACAATTTTCGGCGTCTGCAGTGGCGTATCATGAGCACTGCCTCCATCTCAATCACTACCTAAGAACTGGGAGAACACTATAGAAACAATATTTCGAGTTTGCCCAAATGGGCATCTTAACCTATCAGATCAGCACACAGTGGAGGAAGAGGGCAGGCAGCTGTTGATTCTGGAGAATGACCTTGGATGCGATCGGCAGTGCACTCGAACATATCGGCGCAATGCTGGGAATAGTGAAAGCTGTGGCGCCCATCGCACGAGTGGCCAACAGCTATATCAAATGATGCTTCGCACATTTCTGGCAACGAACGTGACGATCCTTTGAGC